ACTATCTTCAAAACTGAAAATACAATTAGAAGCAAAATTTCAGTAACAAAACCTCATGATATAATTGAAAATACAAAAAATGTAATTTATAAAATTCTTTGCGAATGCAATAAATTTTACATAGGAGAAACCTCAAGACCATTACACAAAAGACTCATAGAACACCAATCATACATAAAAAGCAGATATCATAAATCACACATTTGTCAACATGCATTTGATAATTGCCATAAAATTCAATGGAATAATTCCACAATTTTAACAAAATAACAATCTACAAAATGTTCATTTAGGTTCTTTTGATAACGATAGCAGAAAATAGCTATCGAAACGTCAAGGTAATTTTTCAAATTAATTTTTCTACTAATTGGAATTTTCTCTTACAGCTTGAGCCTAAGTGTGTCGCAGGATACCCTCTAGGTGATAGTTCTTGATTACTTTTTGATAAATAATTCGTTCTTATTGCGAAATATTATTCTGTCTTTGAAGACAGAATCCAACAAGAAGTTTGTAAAAAAATGAATAACCTCAACAATATAGAACTTATCTAGGAAACTGCATCGATAAATTGAAGCCAAAGGAACTTTCAATAACTAACTGAAAAGGGATTGAAGCGGTTTTAGCAGCAAAACTACCACTTTTCACTTCATAATAATTTCAGCCAATCCAGGCCAAATACCCGTCCAAACAGCTTCCACCACAAAAAAAATTGTCAAGAATAATTGTCAAGATTAAAGATTCAATGGGTCAAGAATCCGAAGCATTAATTAAAAGCATGCTGAAAATAACTATTGTCTAATGATTGTTTTGGTGGTTTTAATAATTTGTTAATTTTCAGGCAATGGACGGTGCTGGCGGGGGGCGGCGGCGAGTTGCTGCGAAATCATCGGCTGAAGACCAGGCTCTAGACCAAATAGCCAAAGAGGTAAGAAATTGAGCAATTGTCTCCCGTTTTTGCCCATTTTAGACCTGTTGAAAGACATTTTAGCAACATTCCGCGTTGGCCGGCTGCCAACTCCCATATCCTGAAAAGGAAGCACTTAATCGTTTACATATTTCGGAAGTTGCTGCTGTGATATTCCTGAACTTCCGCAGAGTATTAACTGGCTGCTGTTCTAAATCCTCGAGCTTTTTTTCTTTCGGATAAATCGCAATGCTTGTCTCTTAGCGCCGCGACGTCGCTCCAACCAACGAGCTTTAACTAATAAAGTGTTTTTCATTTTCGAGATTGGCAAGTGCCGGTTGGTTCCTACCGGAACTTCAGCGCTGGATGTGACGCAAGCTAATGGGTTCTTCCTGCCGTTTGTGGCAAAATTGCCGGCAATTTACCGCAGAACCATGCGACATCATTAAAAGCTGGTCCGAAGGACCAGTAGAAGGAACTCGTTTGGCGACGCTATTTTTAGAGGAATGAACTCGCTTTGGTTTTACATTCTAGCCTCATTTCTTCGCCGTGCCTACAGGGTGATTTAACCATATAAACGCCCAGTTTCCAGCCAAATGCATTTATGTCCACAGTACTTGATTGGGAACTAGTGGGCATGATTCACAGTGAAATCGCATTGAAAACTTACACGTTCTCGGTATTTTATGCTGCATCCTCAACCATTGAAAGGGCGCTTTAATTTGTGTTTCACTTAAAAAGATCCCCATCCTTAAGGTGCATTAAAAGACTTTTTCTCCTGCTAGTTGAATTTAAAACGTTGCAATTGCAAAGTTTCCTTTTTAATTAAGACATGTTTCACCCTGTAGTGGCAGCCCTTCTCGCTTGTCTTTTGAAATGCGTCGTGTTCTGGCTTAAATTATGAACAGTCCCGGATCGGATTCGTGAGTACAAAGACCGTCAGCTGTTTCCTGCTGCGGATGTCTAGTCGGTTCTTCTGCGAAGGTTAGTGCTCTTCGGGAAGTTATCGATTCCGTCTGGATCGCCCCAGACGTGATAAACTATCCCGGTTTGAATCGGTTTTATTTGCTGTTTTAAGTGCGGATTTGCAGTTTGCGACGTTCTCTCATGCAAACTGGAATCTAAATTCGCATCAACCGACGCAAATTTTACATAACACCATCTTCACTGCTCTCGGTGATAAACACCGTTATTCAAATAGCTGGGCGCCAGTGAGATAAAGATCGAGAATAGAAAATTATGATAATTATGGGTGTTAGTTTTTGTGGCACGCGGATGCCTAACGCGTTATCGCCGACGATTGACAATACTGGTGGAGTGCTTGGGAAAATGCCCCCGAAACTACCGTTGGATGGGGGCCCGAAAGCTACGGAACTTTTCACGCGAAGCTTCAATGCCTTGAGAAAAATGCCGTCGTTGACCGACTGTTTGGACGAAAAGTGCGCCTTGGAGGCAAAGGACGGAGTCTTATTAGTCACGGCGGTATCAGCAGCAAAAAAGGATGTGAGTAGTTGCGGTTTTCGCAATCCTCCAACTCATTCTCTCTGGAGATTGTTCTGTTTTGTTCATGAACAAGTAGCAAGTTGGAAATTTCATCTAAAATCCCTGCGTGTGATTGCAAAATGAAACTTGCAGGATTCTTAGAGAGAACGTTTCCCGCAGAACTATTGTTTGTGAACATAGAAAATTAACCAATTTTCACTTCCTTCCTTAAAAAATCCCGTAAAAACTCCCTGATAACGGTGGCAAATTGAAACTTTCCCGATTTATAAACGAGGTGTTGCCCTTGTCCAGCGAAAATTGGCAAATATCTCGCTATTTAATTGCTTTTTGTGTTGCATCTTTTGGTCTATGCATTTGCCCTTCACATCTTCGTTTCTCCAATATGTACGGTTCAGACATAAAGTCCTTCAGGAATCTTTATTTTATATATATACTATAGCAATATTTTCAATCAGCGATTCATCGTTTGCGTTTAATTGTAAACTTGAAGACTATTTTTAGCCGGGCACTTTAAGGGTGCAATAATGCGGGGTGCACGTGGGCATCGGAAATTGCCCCCATATTCTTCTATTTCTGTACGTATCAAAATAGCTTTTAATGGACGCTTCCTGCTCTAGGGTTTTATTCGACCAAATGTTTATGAAACATTATGCAAATGGTAAGCAACTGCCTAGTTCTAAAACCTTTTGTACAAACTTGTTAAAAGCTCCAGATGCTAAAGAATCGACTTCTTGAGCGGAATCGATTGGGCTCAAAAAACACGCATGTGAAATTTTGATTTTTGGTCACAATTTTTCCAAGGGTGAGGCCAATTTTTTTGAAAAAATTAAAAATTTCTCAAAATCTCTTAAATTTTACATCATTTTCCGCTCACGGGCGTGAGGAATGCATCGAAGTCATTGAAAAACATGCTGGAAGTTTCAGATTAAAAAAAAAATTAAGAATTTTTTAAAAAATTTTAATTTTTTCAAAAAATCGACCTCCACCCTTGGAAATATTTCGACCAAAAATCAAAATTTCACATGTGTGTTTGTTTTTTGAGCTCAATCGATTCTTTTCGATGTAAGGTCACAAATGCGCATTTATAAAGTGTTTGGGTCAATAATAAGGAACAAATTGTCGGTTAAAAATCGTGAACGCTCAAAAAACGCTTAACATTTGCCGAAAATGTCTATTATTTCGGATCTGAAACGTCCAGCATGTTTTTCAATGACTTCGATGCATTCCTCGCGCCCGTGAGCTGAAAATGATGTAAAATTTAAGAGTTTTTGAAGAAATTTTAATTTTT